TTTGTATTTTGATAAAAGGTCAAATAACCTATTTGAACATGGGGAATACTTTTCATTAGAAATGAAAGTGACAAATATGGAAATTACATCAAATTTACATACCATGACTACAGCAACTAGTTAGACTAAAAATCCATTTGGCACTCTATGTGTGTATTTGTGTTGATAGGTGAATGTTAATGAATGCTTGGGTGTGTATATTAGAGTATGTTGATGTGTGTGTGTGTGTGTGTGTGTGTGTGTGTGTATGTGTGTGTGTGGATGTAGATGTAGTGTGTAGGTATACAGTATGTAGATATATGTGGATGTACGGATATGAATGTGTAGGTATGTGTATGTGGGAGTAAGTCTACTACAGGCAAAGGAATTATTTTTCACAATTTACTTCAATTTTTTGTGATATTTTCTTAGATAATATTTTGTGAATATAAGGAACAGTTATTTTCAAGTTACTTCTACGAAATCTTGAGGGTACTGTACAGTATGTTATCATTTCTCCAGGTGTCAGTGAAATGTAATGAATAACACATTATTGCTATTAAAGCAAATGTGCATTAAAGGTACAGTGGTGAGTAGGCCTATACTTTGTCATTAGGTTCAGCAAGTCCACATTCGTCCTTTTACAAATACAAACATCCTGAACAAATTTGAACGTTCAGTTCGTACCTATACATTGTTTAAATGAACAGAGTGAAATTGCCCTCAACTTACTACACTGTAAATGTGTTGCACACGTCTTTACGTGCACAGTACTAGGAAGAGCGAACTTACTGTACACTTCATAAGATACAATGTAAACTGCTGAATGTGATATAAACGTCATTCATTGCATGTTGAGTACATTTAAACAGCAAATGAGTACGCGTCCTTTGTGTACAATACATTAGGAACAGTGAAATTCTTGTACACATCATTAGATGTACAGTACATCTGTGAATATGCTATAATGCCATTGCGTATAAGGTAAACTTAAACAGATAATGAGTTGTACACATTTGTGTGTACAGTACATTAGGAACCGTGTACTTACAGTAATACTGTACTACGAATGTGGTATAATCATAATTGCGTGTACAGCACATTGAAACAGTGAACGAGCTGTTCACGTCATTGCGTGTACAATAATTTTAAACAGTGAATGTACTGTACCTTACACATGATTGCGTGTACAGTACTTTCAAACAGTGAAAGCACTGTAAATGCTAATAGCCTGGAAAATTATTAATACCAACGCCTCTTTAATAAGCGCAGAAACCTGATATCAGACAACCAGTCAAATATCAGGTAAAATTGCAAATCGTGAGGTAAATTATCAATAGAAGGAAATTCAAAATGCAAACGACCTCAATTATCATTTCCTTATTCACCTTAATCTGTTGTTTAATTACAAGATTGATTTGTTCTATTTCTTCCGCTACGTTAGATGCCAGGTGATTACATTTTGAAAGGAACACAGAGATAGAACATCCTCAATAGTTAGATTCTTGTACGACTGAGTTATCTTCATGATCGCACATAATAATCAGTTCAATTTGAAATCCAAAAACACATTTTTCACAGGATGTCTCTGGCAATCAATTACTGCATTTATTTTATTTAAATAATTTGAGAAATAATAATCAAATTTACAGCTTTTTACTGGATTGCTTTCATTTGATTTTCATATTTTCAATTTCACTCTATCTGGGTTTCAGTTTGATTTTTTTATGTGGAATGTTTCAGCCACCATATTCCATTCTGGAGACCACAACGTTTCTTACTACCACAAACCCCAGGCAAGGTTTTCAGAATTTATTATATTATATATTATTTTTTATCATGTCGAATGATTAAAGATAACATGTACACCCTTATTTGTTTCATCAAAGTTTACTTTCATCAATCCAAGTCTTGGGGTATAATTCTGATGGTAATTCAAAACAACAGAATAATTAATAACAATAACGATGTCAAAAAAGCGAAAATGATCACCAATCATGATAAATTGATGCCAACATTCGTCTACATTTACCATTATATATATTATTATAAAAACAAGAAGCAGCAAATTTTAGTAGTGATTTCGAGAAATGTTGATGCTGCAACAGCCAGGAGCAATGTCGATCGAACCCTTCAAGCTCTGCAGTCGGCTAAGTGTACGGCACCGAGACGACGAGTCTGTGAGAAAGACTATTAAAGCGACTACGTGTAAGCCATAGCGCTGTAGTATGATAATGAAAATTCACTGTGTGTCACAAGGCATGGATATAATTATTTAAATTATTCTCTGAATAATAGCTGCTTGGCGAATTACAAACAAAATATCGTGCACTGAAATGAGATGTCTTTACATAAAGGCTGAAAAAAAAAATTTCTAGAGAAAAGCAAACGAAAAGCAGTATACTGAATGGCAGATTATTGAAAACATGAAATTGAACATTAATTTCTAATGTATGGTGACAAATACATTTTATGTCCCTAGTTAAGATATCTACATCGATAAAAAAAGGTCTTAAAAATGTTACTTTAGCTATGTTTTGCAATACAGAACAGCTTTGGTATGTATAATTCTAATGAGCAACTGATAAATTGGACATACATATTAATTATTACAAATATTAATAATAGAAGATTAAAGAGACATTTTTTCTTTAAATAATAATGGACACAAGCTATAAAAGTATAATGATGTTTTTTTTCCTTCATGTTATCAATTTGGTTATTCTTTATAAATTGTAATATTTACTTAGTTCTTCAGAAAGTAAAGATATTACAATTTTAATTGTTACTTTAACCTCTGTATTTATTATGTATGTGTTATATTTATTGAAATAAAATGTTAACGCCAGCAGGGGTTTAGCCAGAAAAAAACGAAATTGGCCGCCCAAAATATGCAACATTTGATAGATTTGAAGAATATAAACATAGAACAGGTCCAACTAGGCTAGTCCGACCTTAGTAGGCCAAGTAGTGAAAGCCGTCATGGTAAAAGTTGCCATCCTAAATGATTGTTGGCCGTCCAAAAGATGGCTGGACGGCTCGCTGGCTAAGCCCTTGCCCGCCAGAAATCTCTTTCTTTGGACAATAAACAAATCTTGAATTTGGAATTAAAATGAAATCACATCAACATTGGAGTGGGAAGCAACAACTGAAAGCATTAATAATGTGGTGCCTATATTCCATAATTTACGGTAACTACCGTAAAACCTCGAATTGAAGAACTGGGCTTTTTTTTTTTTTTTTTGAGAACTTTTGGATGGGCTTTTCGAGATAGGCTTATTTTCGAGGCTACTTTTGCAAAGTAAAGAGGGTGGGGGGGCTTCTTTTCAAAATGAATGCTGTAAATTTTAGGAATTAGGACTACAAAGTATAAAACAATAAATAGGGCCACTGTAACATCAATCTGTATCATGGAGTGTATTAACCGGCATTATCTCAACTAACTCCATAAACCAAGCGTGTTTTAATTTATTTTGTTTCTTTGATATTTATGTACAGTGTATGTACTGCACTACCGTAAAACCTTGAATTGAAGCCCTGGGCCCATTATTTTTTTGCGAACTTTGGATGAGCTTCTTTTCGACACTACTTTTGCAAAGTAAAGAGGGGTGCTTCTTTTCAAAATAAATGCTGTAATTTTTGTGAATTTGTAATATTAAAAAAACCTATGCTATCTTGTTTTCGAGTCTAATTTTGCAAACTAAAGGGGCGGCTTCAATTCGAGGCTTTATGGTATCTCAAAAAGAAGCATGCTATCTTGAAAAGAAGAATGTGGGCTTCTTTCCATGGCTAATTTTGCAAACTAAAGAAGGGGGCTTCCATTCGAGATGAGCTTCTTCTCGAGATTAAGCTCATCGGGCTTCAATTCGAGGTTTTACGGTATGTGAGCTAGTACAGGACCGTTTCCACTCCATAAACCTACAATAGAGTGTTATAGAGCAAATACTTTCATTTTATTAGCGAGTTGTTCACTGTTGAATGGGAATGAAATAAAGATAAATAAAATACTGCTACTAATATACTACACAAGCTCAGTAAACTGTCCAGTCCCACATAGAAAACTGGTAAATGGCAAAAAGCTGAGTTGAGAATAATTGACTAGAAGAATATTAAAGCTTGGTAATATGTGGTAATAATAAGGTGGAATTGAGCTTACTTGTGTGTGCATGCTATACATCTCTGGTTTGATCGCTGGTTGACCTTATCCTATAGTAATCGAGGTCTTTTGATCAAGTTCTATTCCAAGTTAATTAAATCTCATCTTAAATTCACATTAACCATCTTGTTCAGTATTGTTTCTCAATACAATTATTTTTTGGCTTTACATTTTCAGTTTAATTAACAAAACTATTAACATTCTTTTTTTTATTTTTGTTATCATATACAATACTTTTTTACTGCTTATTTATTTAATTATTTTTACAAACTAATTATATTGTTAGATAATTATTTTAATACTTATTTTTTGTTATTAACTACTCCCTCTGTGGTTTAATTCCTTTACTGTTACTTCCAGTAACTTATACCTCACATGGGTTTTGGCCTTGGGTGATTTACATGTAGATCTCTACGAAATGGCAGGATATTAATGATGTATGGAAGAAGAAAAAAAAAGTTAAAACAACAATTTGAGAAATTATTGGGATTTGTTGCCACAGTAATAAAGTTTGATGTTTCAAAAGATCACCAGAGGAGGGTCAACAACCTCAGTAACTGTTGGTGAAATACTGTTCATGTTTATGTGATACTGTACTATTAGTTTCTCTCTGCAATTCTAAGCCACAAAAACAATGCATAACCAGCCTGTTAGTCAGTGACTAGGAATGCTAAATAAATAGAGGGAAAAAAATGGTTTCACAAGCTTTGTGACATTTGGAAGTCACAGTTAGTCAGTCGGTTGGGAATGTTTGTGTCTATCGGGCAAGTAGACACTTTGCTATCATCTCTCCTATAAATTGTACTGTAAGAGTAAACCTGTTTCGAGGAATGACGGGATGTGTCACAATTCTCAATCAACTCACCTGCATAAATTGTTAGCAGGCCCTTCGTCTCCACAGACCCGTCGTCATTACTAGCAACGCATTTGAACTCCGCCTCATCTCTAGGCTTGCGTATCCGGTATATTCTAAACAGTGAACCATTATCAAGGTCTGTGACTTCGTAGCGGTCACTTGAGGCCTTTTTCGAGTTTTTGAACCAAGCAAATGAAGTGGCGCCACTTGCTTTGCAGATGAAGATGATCATTGACCCTTCTTTTACTTTTTCGTTACGCAGTTCTTGTGTGATGACTGGCAAATCTGGGGAAATGAAATGATTCATAATTCAATATTCAAATATTTTAAGATAAGCATTAGGCCCAATTTTTTTAATTAGTTTATCGCTTTCGTCCGCATGCCTTCCATTTTATTGAAAAAAAAATTTTTCTTTTTTTCATTTTTCCATTTGTTTATAGTAAATAGTAATCTCAATCATGTATTTTACTTTATAAAGCCTCTCCTTCCCCTCCCCTCCCCCCAACCCTCATCATTTTTCCAGCCTATAAATAGGTGATAAATTAATAATTTTTTGCATTGGGTCTTACAACAATCTTGAATGTTTTTCAAATACAAATATGGTTTATCCAATTATTCACCTCGTTTTAATATTATCCAAAATGTATAAAGTAATGACATAGGATGACAACATATTCCCAAAAAAGTCAAATAACATTATGAACATTAATGTCCTAGAATATTAATGAAAATATTCTAGGACTGTCATCAACTGTGAAAGGTAACATTTTTATATTTTTTTTATTCAAAGTGGCTCTTAATTAATATGACACTATTTATAAATTTCTTCAATATAGACCAGTAACTGTACTGTAATATAACATTTCTTCACAACATTCATGTGTGGTCTTGTTTTAATATAAGGATGGATGTAATTGTCCCTGCCCTAGACTGCTTCTACTTGTACTCCATCTGTCCTCAGCAATTACACTTCCCTAGTTACAGCAGAATTTGTAGTCGCCTAGTGTGGCCGACTACACCAGGTGGTCTATTTTTAGATCATGGCCCATGAAAATAGCAGGCAATAAGCAAAGCATGTCCAACAGAGATCTAGATACCCATCCAGTTGTCATCGCATCCGGCGATTCTTTTTATCCTCAGCGCTAGAAGTGACTCCGGATAAGTGGAATTTAGAGACACAGCAGGAAACATTGGAGTTGGATGCAAGGAAGGCCGGTGCTGATCAAAGGCTTGTAGAAAAGCATGTCGTTCTAGGTAAATTGTCTTTGTCAGGCCGTGATGAAATCATATCAGAGATGATATAGCACCAATTGGTTCAATAACACATAACATACATGGTAATCACAGGCCTTTTTTAAATAACTGGACCTCCTAGGTTTCTGGTGTAATTCCAACTCCGACAGTGCTTAAAATGATTTTTAAAAGGTCATCCACACCATGGTACATAAATGCTAAAAAATACTAACAAATATAGGTCACTGTTTAGTACTGTACACTTATTTCTTATATACTTCTGTTGTGGACTATGTACACGGTATAATTATTCAAAACTGATATAACTAGTTACTGAAACTTTTAATTTTATTCCAGAAATCATTATTAATAACAATAGATCTAACTATCATCAAAGATGTTCTTATCTTTAATTTAAATAAGATATTAAACTAGCATATTACCATAATGAAAGAAGATTGATTTGGAAAGTCTAAACATTTATTTAAATAATTTATGACACACTACATGTTGAAAATATTTTCCTCTAAATTTTTATTGTTGAAAATATTTTCCTCTAAATTTTTATTGTATTTTGGGACACTATAAGTTCATTAGAACTTTTTATGGGTTTTCCCATTTGCCTTTTAAAATTTATATATTATTAAAGTATCTAATAAATTTATTTACCATGGTAAAAAATGTTAATTCATCATCCAATGAAGGCCATGTCTATAGCAACATGTAGTAACTATCAATGATATTATACTAATGAAACCTGCTTTTATGACTAATAATTGTTTTGAATATTATTAGATCATTAACACCACCTTGCCTCTTTGGCATGTGGTTCTTTTTCTCTGCTTTCTTAAAAGCAGTCTTTAATATCATAAGTTTGAATATCCCCATATGATTTTCTTTTTTGTGGTAAAGAAAATACAAGGCCATTCCCATACTACTGTACACAGATTTTGGTTTCTTTGATAAGAACATACAGCGGGTAACATTCGGTCAAAATGATTAGATTGATCACGTCTGGTACATAGTTGATAACATTGTATTCTATGTATATTATCAACAGGATCTTAAAACATTGGACCCTTATGATGATATTAAGCAGATATGAAACAAAATGAAACCGTTATTAAACTTTCAGATCTTCCGGCCCGCAGTCATTATCGGCCATAATTATGCGTATATGTTTAAATTATCAGATGACGGCAATGGGGGATTTCTGTTTATCTGTATTTTATGTATTTTACTATCTTGGCTTGGAAAGTAAAACAAAAAAGGTGACCCTACAATAATAAATTGTTGTGAACCCTTCTTATGAGTCATTTCTTTATCAATTTCACAAAATATGGTACTAAACATACACTAAGTGGTGTATGGGGGGGAAGGGGGAGAAATCACTGTGTAGCACTTGATGAAATTGACAAAATGATGACCTCAACAAAACAAAAATGTTATCATTTCATTATGTACTCTTTTGGGAATAAGGGGCACCTTTTTTGTGGAGGCGATAGGAGAGGAAAGAGCTCTATGCAAAAGAATGTTTTCTCCTTTCTTGAAGATGATTCTTAAAAATAGATGACCACACTAAATAAAACTTGGGTCTAAAAGTATTGATTGGAATCTCTTTGAAAAGTAAGTTAGACTTAGGTTATGACGTACACAAATATGAGTGGGTTGGATACTTCTTTGACTGGGGTTAAATATAGCACATGCATAATACATGAAATGATTCCCTGGATCAACTAAGTCCAACAACACCTGTTACTTCATTCACAAGAAATAAACATTTTAGTTCTAATTTCCAACGTAACAATAATCACCAACGTCATCCTACGACAAAATAAACATTGCGTGTAAAAAATGTCTAAATCACACCAATTTTGAACTTTACTTTAAACAGTTAAAACATTTGAAGAGTCAACAAATACTTTCTAGAATGTAAGATGCATGTAGATTCATTCTTAGGACTTGTTTGTTTGGTGGTAGTCCAAAGCCAATATTAACAGGGTTTGTAGCTAAGCTAACACAATACCAGTTTGCAATGCTGGGTATCCTATTCCAATACGTAGACTTGAGGGTATTCATCACATTCACCATGGGATGTAGAGCACAGTGCAGCAGCCTTGAGAACAAAACAGTCTGGACAATACAAAAGACACATTGGTATGCTAAGGTGTGATCATTTATGATTTGCTATTGATGTTGTTCTGACAACTGACTGTCACTTGCGTTTCTTCAATTTGTCAGTATTTTTTGTTGTGCGACAACAAATCAAAAATTAACTTATTCCTATAAGAGGTCCTCCCGGTGGTGAGGAGAGAGTCATTTTATCAACCAAACAAAAACAATTTTTGTATATTTGATATAAGGACCAATAAAAGCTCTTGAATCTTAAAATTTCAAATGAATTAACTGAACGTTTCCTAACAAACTGTATTGTGATTTTGGTAATTATGGTGATATTAATTGTAAGTTTTATAATTATGCTTGTACAGTAGTTGTAATTATTATAATGGTCTTATTTTTTTATACAGTATTTTAAATTGTATTATATTTGGTAGGAAAATTTGTAAATAGAATGCTGCAATTCAGCTTCTGCTGCCATTGATTGTAAAATTGAATAAAAGAATTGAATTGAAAAAAAATTAACACACATTTCTCCTCATCATATTTCATAATGTTATATGCTATCTAGCATCCCATTTACAAACAAAACACACTCAATTATGTCTCATGAAGAATCACCTCAAATGCTAACTCTTCCTCAACTGATGAGTTAATGTATCACGATTGCGAGATGTAAGTTTAGTCAGCAGAGAGAATTCTTATTTATAGTTAGTACTATTAATGTCACAGGCATCTCCACGAACGTTGATTCAGATGTTTGCCTGGCATAAACCAATCTAAAATTCTAACTTGTCCGTGTAAAACGATTCCTCGCTATTAACTTCAGTACAGACTAACGGTGACTCTTTAACCTTTTCAATAGATTTTGTTCATATTTTATCCTTATTATTTGATTCTTAATATTTGTATGTTTTTATAACCATGATCGTTCATACCCTGTCGTGAAAATTACCCATATTAATGACGAGTCATTAACTAATCCACAAGTTCATGTTTTCAGGTCTATTTAAATTATTCTTAAGGCCATTTTTAAATAGCATGACCTTTTATAACACTCCTCCTAGGAATATGGTGTAGTTAATTATAATCATCATGTTTAACGCAAAATATAGCCTACTGCAAGAGGTAGGTTTTAATGATGTGGCTAGATATGACAGTCAAAGAAAACATCCGCCAGAATGCTTCCTTCAAAATGCCGGTTGCTACGTAAAAACCATGGCGATGTCACTTGAAGTCATGTGACAATATCTTGGGTACAAGCAAACATTTAAGATTGATGACAGCAAGGTTAATAATTCAACACAAATGTCATGTTGCTTACTCCAAGCTGTCAGAAGTCCTGGGTTCAAATCCCAAAGGGGTAATATGTGTTTCCCTTGTTTTGTCTCCCCACAGGCTATAGTCAAACCACAAATATTTATTCAAAGTTATCCTCAAGAGTTTATTCATGTTATTAATTTTTGGGATTTTTGGATTTCTTTCTCACATCAGCACTTAACAAAGATCCTTTCAAAGATATGGAGACAAGCAAATTTCAAATGAAAAACCAAGCTGATTTGAGAGTTGTTTGTGGAAATGGCCTTCAACTCTAATTCATTTAATCCTCATTCATTTTAACTGTACCGACACTGAAGGCACAGGCGACAGACATGTTCATAGAAAGCGCAATGCTCCAATTGGTAGCTTCATACAATAAATGCAGACTTTTATTGTTGAGTAAACGAGTGGAAAACTCCACCTCAGCGTCAATTGATTGCCAATAGAACCTCTTTTACGTTGGCTGGATCTCAGATGTTTTGGGTAATGAGGCAAGTGCTAGATAGTGCTATCGACAAATGTTAATTCATATCACACTGCCGTAGCTAATAAATTCCCTGCATTATGTTGTATTATCAAGAGATATTTTTAACCATTCTTTAAGTAATATAACTTAGATATTGAACATATTAGTGAATGGATGAACACTAATGATAATACAGGTATATAATTTACAACATCTACTCCACACAATATGGTAAATGACAAGACGAAAAATGAAGAGTATACATTCACAAAAAAAATGTGATTATAATTTACTTATTTGTAGTTTGAACTGCGCATGCTCATATCCAAGGTCAATCGACATAAACCTATGTTGTGTTGTTTATGCCGATTGACCTTAATATAGCCATGTGCAGTTCAAACTACAAATTGGCTTGTGTACAATTTTTTTACTACAAAATCCTTCAATTGATCAACAGCCGACTTAAGGATAAACCATATTACCCAGGAAAATCATTTCTCTTTCTAATTTTTATTTGAAATCTATTAACTTTATACAAAGTAATTATAATATTTATTTTTATTTAGTTTATTAGCCAAAGACAGCTGATCAAAGGTACTACAGGATGTAGGCCTACATAATTGAACTAATAAATTATAGAGGACGATGCTGCTTTATAACTAAATTAGTTTACAGCTACAGACAACTACCATAAAAATTAGTTAATGATACCAAACACAATAGGTATAATATTTAGACCACAATCATAAATCAAAATGTCTATTATTATGGGTTGGCCATCTCTTATGTCAATTTGATTTGATGTCTTCATGCTTAACAATCTATAGTTTACTGTTGTTAATAATGACAAAACATATCATAATACGGTAATCTAAAAAAGTAACTGGTTTAAACCAAGGAAATAAATAAGCCCAAATGATATGTTAATTTAACATTCGAAAACAAATTGTAAATTTTTATGAACTAATTTAATTTTGTTTTAATAATTTTCATAACACAAACTCATAATTTATCAATCTGATAAGAATACCTCTTGTGAATTGTCAAATTATTCAGTTACTGTTGAATGAAAGATGCAGTTGTTAAGATTAATAATATATTCAATTTGCTGTTTTTATTAAAGCAAAAAATAAAGCTCAATTCAAAGTAAAGATAAAAAGCTTACATGGGGAAACTTAAAAAAAAAAACCTTAAAAATTCAATTTAATTACTGATTTAAAAATGGTCAAATATGTTATAGCTTCAAATATTAACACACAAAATCGTAACAATTCAGTTCTTATTGGTTTAGAATTTTAACATATTTTAATACTATTAAATGCATCTGTTTTAATGGGTAAGAAATATATTTTAATTAAAAGTTATAAAAATAAATTAAAATTCATTAATCAATAATAAACATTATTATCAGTGTTTTTTAACTCAAAGCAACGAAATCAACTTTTTGTGACGTTTACCAAGTGTTTTCCTTGTGACAATGGCAAATAATGGAGTTCAGAGGCTATGGAGTCAAAGTTTAGACAAGTTACAATGTACACTATTCATATAAAACATAGAACAATTCATATCACATTCTATGCACATATAGAGGGGTGCTAAGCAATCAGTTTAAGCACCACTTGGCAACATGCCAACAAGATAAAAACTCAAAATCGATTTTCTCATACTCTGTAATTACTGTAGCTGTAATCACTACCGGTATGTATTAACTTAATGATAATTCAATACTACCATATACATTGAATTGAAAAAAAAAATATGTTTCCATACAACTTGACCAAAAAAACAATGGAGGCCTCTATTCCCCTTCACAAAAAAACAGCAACACAAACACTGAAGGCTTAATTCCAGCAGGATAAATTCTGGTGGCAAATTCCGGAGTATACTGGAGACAATCCTGAAGAGTTTTCATATTCTGCATGAACATTTAACGTTTCCAGCTAAAATAAAGTATAGACGAGCAGTAGTTAAGTTTAAGAGGGGACCAAAGTTATATAACGACCTCCGCCATGTTCACTGCACACAACTATTAGTTTTTTTTTCCATTTATACTTGATATCCTGTTCATAGCTACTGTTCTCCCATACAGCCCAGTTATGCTTTAAGACTTAAGGAATAATTGTTTCAATCGTGAGAAAAAGTGCTACTGTCCCAGGAATTGAACCCAGGACTATGGGATTTGATAGCAATCATCTTAACCACTAAGCTCTTCAACTCCACATAGTACATTATAAATATTTCAACAATATCCTTGTTTTCATCTCCAATTTTAGTTTCAAAATGTCATTTAATCATTATAAAAGCCACTAGTATTTCTCTTGCTTTTGAGCCTTATCACAACTTCTACTAGAAGATAAAAGCATGATTGTGGGTTAAACTGGTCATTCCCGAGTATTACAAAGGCATCCGAGACCAACATACAGCACTGTTAGTACAGCACATTTGCAACTTTAAAAGGCTCTCATTCGTAACATCCACCATCAATTTTAGTTTCAACAGCCTGGACACGCCAATATGACCAAGCTGTCATGAAGCTTGAGATGGCCTCCAGGGACTAGCCTATTATACCATGCAAAATTAGTTGGCCAAATCTGGACACCTAAATCAAATAAATCTTACATGCAGATGGGGAAAAAAAACTGAATTCTGACGCACGACTACATTTCAAGTGTAAACCATTTTATCACGTCAACAGTTCCGAAAATTGTATATATTTTCCTTTAATTAATGCAAAGAAAATGGCCAAAGTTCATATCAAAGAATCATCAGTTAAATTCATTTTATTGAGTCGTTATGTAAACCCAAAGAAAAGTCATTATTCGCCTGTATTTTTTCAGAATCCTGAGGACATAACATTTACAAAGGACAGTCCTTCTTCATCAACGTAAAGAATATGTCATTGTAGCACAAGCTAATATGAGTTTATGAGATATGATCGGAGTACGCCGTTGCATTAATGATACTTGATAGTTTCCCCATACAATATGAACAAGCTTAGAGTCTCTTCCTAATGGTAGGGTTGTTTAAATGAATAAACACCATGCATAACAATGTAATACAGAAAGAGGAAATAGACAACAAAAGATGGTGGAAGCAAGATTTACAAAGAAATTTTTTCTAAGAGTGCCTACATATTCAAAGTGCTTTGAATAATCTCCAATAATAATAATAATTTATTAATATCTGTTACAATTATATAACAACCGAGTAATAATTTCAACTACAAACCAATACCAAATGTGAATAGTTTAAGGAGTAGGATTAGAATGTCTTTCGTGTTACATTAAGTATTACTTTCTTGGTTCCTTTTTTTAATGTTTATTTAAGTGCATAGATGTCCTCACAATATGCACTCTATAATTCGACTAATATTATTACATTAATAATAAAATAATACCTTCAACAACACTAAATATATTTATATTCATAATTTAAGAATCACATTTCTCCGTAATTATATTATTTTCAAAAATTCATTTTCATTTATCAATATTTGTTTTTATACTTTAATAACCTTTTATCGAGAACAAATATTATATACTACTACATAAATGTTGATGTTTTATTGTACAAATATGTTATAAGCGATCAACGTAAAGTATTTTGTAAGTTCAAAATATTAAATAATCATGTTGTTTTTTTTGGTCATTGACTTTTTCTCCTTTTTTTCATACCAACGTAGTAATTTTATTTAATAAACTGGAGAAAATAACTTACCTGCATGAATTAATGCAACAAAGCAAGACAAAAGACACAGGATTAAAATGAGGTATGAATAGCGCTGGTCCATTGTGGGAGGAATGCCTGCAACCAGCTCCCCAATTCAAAGAGACTTTCCCTTCTATTGGAAAAGGCTTAGTTCTCCAGTACTACAGTATACCAACAATTCTCTTGAGTAGCGAGCCCTGTAAAAATGAAAAGAATGTAGATGTAGTATGCTATTAACATCAAGTTTGTAGCCGAAACAAAATCTGGACTCAAAATTTCTAAACAGGATCTTAAATCACACTAACATGAGTGTAAAATGCTGTGGTATTCACATAATCAGCTGCGCTACATACGCAATAGTAATCCAAAAGATTTATTGAAATATGTCTACATTTTCAGAGATTTTCATGGGCATTTATGCACATTTTCTAAGCAGTTTCATGCGGTCCACATATTTTACCATCCTCGGGCAATCATGGAGAAAGGCCGAGATGCTACCTTTGACCCCAGCTCCTGTTTCCAGTAAGCTGGTAGGTGGCTAAGTGAAACAACATGGTGATGTGGAATTACGGAGGAATACGGTGATTATGGATCTGTAGAATCAACACTGGATGTCAACAAAATGTCACAGATAGAATAGACTAAAGCTGATAAAGATCTGCATAGCAAAATTGACATAATATTTTCAGATTTCTTTATCCATTGTAAAAACACTTGCACTACGACGATATGTCAATGCTCAAATAAAGTGGAACATCAACATTTATAATAATTTTCATACATAATCTAATTTTTTTTTTTTTCATTTATTAATTATCTCTATCAATTTATTTTGGATTTTATATAATTAATGACTCGGAAGAAAAAAAAATGCACCTAACAAAATATAACAATCTTCACAAATATAACAAATTATTTGAATAAAATGGTATCACACAAAAGTAATATTATAAGCAATTAATAAAATTACATAATTCTTATTTTGTTTTATACTTCTTTTACTCTGTTTAATATTCTGAAATTTTTATAGATATATAAAAATACTGATTATTTCAATCAACTATAATTAATTATGAACGTAAGTAAAGATTTATTTATTGTGCATATTGCATATTTGTTTAATAAATAATATTCTTAACATTACAATTTTACCACATCTCAATATAGACTTCAATGGCACAACGAATATGCCAACTCTAACAATTTCCCATTAGGCTACTTAATATTCCAGCCAACCAATTTGCTCCGAGAGCAACTATAAATACAAATTCTACTAGAAAACTGTCTCCTCAATCCAACTAGTATTTCATCTTTTATCTTATACATTTTTTTTTAAATAAACGACATGAATACATTTTGGATAAGGGACAAATATTCAACGACAAACTCAACGTCATTAATATAAATCCGTGCTCAAGAATAAAACCAAATACAGCTACCTTTTGTTGGCTAACGAGGAGGGGTAGTTTGTGTAGCCATATCGTATTACTAGAAACTACTCTACTAAAGCTTAGAAAGCTTAGAGTAAAAAAAGATGGAACGTGAGACCAAACGCTGGAGTAGTGACATGACAAAGATGTGTACTTTAGTGTCATATCAACATGCCCTACTAAAAACGGAATTCAAAGTAGTATTCTAACCAACTTCCCAGGAAAGAAGAGACACCTTGAAGGACAGTATGCGTAGTATTGTATTTTATTTACACTGAAAGATTTTGAATTTTCACATATGAAGGATTAATGATCACATCAGCAATAATGGGTCATATAGGTAAAGCCTCTTGAAAAATAATTATCACAGCAACACAGCCAAGACCCTCTAAAACTTCTTTTCTCCTAGCTATCCTACCCATCCGCCAGCCAATAAAAACCTAGGCAACTCCTGCAAACCAAGGAAGGTAAATATTTCAATGTTGAATAAATTCAACATAATCCCATAAATTGGGGTTATGTTTATATAGTTACTTAAATAGCTTTTGAAGTCTCCAATCTGTCTCTCAAGGGTAGCTATATATTTACTTAGCATTTTGAGCCCGTACTTTCAATATTGTATACGCTTTACTGCCATTGAAAATGACCTAGGGAAAATGTTGACGGCCTTATCAGGCATGATTCATTTCAGCATGCCAATAGGCTGAATGGGTGTACTTTTACCGAGACAAAGTACCCATTATCAGTATGAACAGGCTTTCAAGCACTCGCTGTGTGTCTTGGCATCTATGTATCACACCGTTCGATTACATTTGGTGATAAGACAACTGGAGCAGTCAGTTTATCGTTTTCAAATACTGCACTACGAAAGGATGGTTGGAGATAAACACAACCTGATACACTAATAGTCTCGTACGATTTTTATTAACAGGACATTTATTGAAAGAAATAAAAATTTCAACATTTTCATAGAACATTCAAGAAATATTTCATAGATTAAACAATGACGATTAATAATATTGCTGTTTCAAAGTAGTTTCTTTCTGTACAAATCACAAATGAAAAAGAAAACGAAAAAGTAATATCTTATCATGGTATATAAATATTGTGCTATCCATAGGTGAATGGCCTAAAGCTGATAGAGAAGTTTAAGGTTAGATACAAGTCATCTCACTCAACCAGAAAATCCATATGATTAGATGGAAAGTGTATTATTTAATTAAATTTATACATTTTTAATATGATCCATTTTATTGAATTATTGATTTAAATTGGATTTCTATGTAATAATAAATTTATTTTAATTATGTATTTATTTAATCTAATAACATTTCAATTTTTTTATTACGAATAATAGGGTCATTAATTTACCGGAGACCATTAAAGTTTTCTTTCTTTAAGAATACAGGTTCAGTAATTATTACACTTTTTTTTATAAGATCACATTTTATAAGAACACTGAGGCTGAAATTGCTTAAAAATTAAGAACAATTTAAGAACAAATTGAGGCCGAGGTAAAATGTCTGGGATTTTTTAATTTAAAAATATAAAAAAATTATATCTACCTTGTGTGCAATAGATAAGTAATACCCGCTATAATGCAGTACAGTAGGTTACAACCTGTCATTTAGGGCCATTTTTACTGGGGCATTTTTTTTCTATGGCCATTTTTTTTTAGGGGGCTTTTTTTCAGGGACCATTTTTTCCAATACCACATTCCAGTACAGTGATACTGCTGTACAATAATAATTTGTTTCAAAAGTGTGTAACATAAGAACAAAATAAGAACATTTTGAGCCTGAAATCGGCCAAAAAATAATAACACTGAGCCTGAGCAAAATTTTACTGGTTCTTATAAGAAAAAAAGTGTATTTCAAATGCGGCTACTTCTCCTGAATTCTATGAAGACATGACCCAGTCATGACAAGCTCCATTGTAAGTATCCAGATATTTGATAGACGCGACCTTCTAAATGATCTCTCACTACATTGTTGATTTCTAGATCTGCATTCATTTAATTGTTCTATACATTTAATTGTTGATTGACATGACCCTGTCTAGTCACAATGTTAGGCGCAGATTGATTGTGTTTTCTTTATTATCCTCAATTTGGATCTAAGCTCGGTTCAGACAACATTTGTTTAAAATGCTGGTAAGTCAAGGGTATGTAACGATAATGCCAGACGCAGCCAGCCATGTGTCTCAACAATCACCGACCTGGTTACAGGGCTGATAAAACCTGTTCAACAGCCCAATAGTGAATAATTATCGCTTGCTCTTTTTTTCAGCAGTGCAATTCTAGATCTACTTTCTCATCGTTTGTAATATGAACCTTTGTTTGATCATCACAGATGTTACACAAGTTCGTTTAGCAGGCTTAATGTGGTTAGACTGGCGAAATCCCAGATCTACTGTAAAACTACTTGAAGGTACAAGGTTTTTACTAAAGAAGTAATACGGCTATGTGCTCACACTATCATATTACCCCCTTTATCATCTGGATGTTCAAAATCCAATTTTGAATGAATTATTCAAAATCATCTGTGAACCAAGCTATGGTTATTCCTTGTCTCAATCAAAACGGTACCATTAAAATACTTGATATACTGTATTTTAAGTACATGGCCAGAAATTCCTTAAGGTTGAACAACTCTCTTATCCTGTTCACAGTAATGACACCAATGATGTAAGCACAGATGATGTCTGCCTCTAATGACCATGGTTAAAAACAATAACATCAAATCATATAGTGTAAGAATTATATTCCTCTTGTCCACTCCATGTAAACATGAAATTAGATCAAACTTGGTGGTAGGTATAGAAAAAACAGGCTGGCAGTAATACAGTAAAAAATGTATATGACGTCTGGTCTAGATTTGTTTTTTATATATATATAATATATTTTTGTTGGGATTTTTTTTCCATGCACACCACATTAAATTGGCCTTGAACTAGATAATTTACATTTTTTCTTTAATGATCAATGGTAATAGTAATTATTTGTAGCAAAAATGATGTTGAAGAGATAGATGATTTATGAGATTAATGATTATAATGATCTAGATAATTGATGATGCATATGATGAGAAAAATAATGGTAACAATGACAATGGTGGATGGGTGACGAAATACATTCTGATAGATTTGAATCATTTTAATGTCAATTAAATAAAGTAATGACTGCCAAATGTAGCATTACCACAGACATATTAACAGTGTATCAGACTTTTCCCACCCTCGCATTTAATATTTCCAACATGACAAACCAGTATGTCACCAAAGATATATCCAGTTCTCGATTCCTGTTTACATTTTTCTAAATGTGTTAAGAATATTTTAATACATCAATGATGACAGATAGAACTCAAAAACAAGACAATCCATTATATGGTAAGTATTACCATTTCTACTTCCTACAAAGGTTCGTGGATCCCAGAACCCCATTCATTTTTTTTATAATTTTTTTATTTTAGTATCCATCCTATTGGACAATATAAATTGTTCTATTAATATCTTACTATAAAACTTGCTTGGCTAGTTTTGCAAGAAATTTGTTTTTGCTTTACTGCTCATTCTTACAGTAGCATTCAGGATGGAAGACCTCGTTCCCAGCAGGACATAAGATTCATAAATTTACATTAATTCCAGAAGCCTCTTCAGTGTAGAAGATTTCCCTTGCAATTCCCAAACATGTTTTTAAATTTCATATCCTCAGATTAACGTCTTTATTTTAGTTATCTCAGATGTTTCATTTTCAGTTACGATGC